ATGTATATGCACAAAACCCTGCAAAGCTCTAGGCTATGCTGAATACTGAGTGACTGTTAGACCACTATTATATACAGTAGCCATTTATACAAGCAAAAATTTTGTTTGTTTAGCTTTTAATAGCCTAAAGCTTTTGCACAGTACAGTGTTGTCTGTTTTTGTACAGTATGGATGCTTGGATTTGTTTGAGTTTGTTTAATTCTGCTTTAGTTGTTCGACTTGAAATAATTGTTTCTTTTTTGATACTTTTCCTCTCTGTCTTTCTGTCTTAACATGGACCAGTAGGAACCTTCAGAAACAAGCAGAGTATGAGCTCTTCCCTCTTGTGCTCACTTGAATCATTGAGCGCCACTCCCTTGTGCACTGTGCTTCAATTCATAGACTATCTGTGAAATGTTTGCACACAGTCACAATGCACAGACCATAAAGACATAAAGCACATTTCTCCATGTGGCTACATAACCAAACATTTCATTCAGAAATATTAATATCCAAAACACTCTCAGCAGGAACACCAAACGCTGCCCATTCATTCATTTGGTCATTCATATATATTTAATGCTAAAGTTCTTATGGGTTCCTTGGCTTTTTGTGACTGGCATTTTCTTTTTTCTCCTAACAGAGGGTGGCGTTTCACAAAGCCAGGAGTCTTGTGGGTTGGACAGTGTGTGTCTCAATGGAGGCTACACCCCCAACACCTTCACCCTGCACGGTTTAGGGACGACTCCTGGGTCCCGAGCTGGAGTAGTGGGCAGCACTGACCTTCTGAGGGACGGAGGAGTTGGAATGGGAGGGGACGACATCTCCCCGGGGCTCCTGACACCGCACGGGGGAGCAGATCTGAGCGGTGGTGCTGGGATGCGTCGTAATCTGTCCGATGCAGCAGCACTAGAGAAGATGATTATTTCAGAGCTGGTACAGAGCAACCTGAGGCCTTCAGTTCCCATGCCTGTTCCTCCTGAGCGCTACGGCAGCTTGGCGAGGCCGCACCACCACGACAGGCCGGCTCTCACTCACACTGCCACGTTAACGCGACACGCACAGCCGCCACAAGAGGGATGGGCTACCTCCTTGCAGCCAAGCACACGGCATAACGCACAAGAGGGCTGGTCACAAACAAGGCACCTCACACAAGACACTGAGACACATTCCACGACACGTGGACAAGATCATACCACAACGCCTCGCTTACAAGACGGCTGGTCACACGCGCGCATTTCTGGGGATTCTGAGTCCCGTGAGCTGCTTAAAGATGGGGACCACTCACAGCTGCAAGGTACTCTGGGACGCCGTGGGCTTCAGGAAAGACAGCAAGCGCGTCCCCCTGATGTACAAGCACGACCTTATTCCACTCTCAGCCGCACGCCTGGTACTCTGTCCCGCCACCGCAGCACTGCAGAGTCAAGTGGAGGGACGGACAGAGACAGGGAGAAAGAAAGAGAGCGAGACCGGGATCGTTATCGCGACAGGCCCCTCCCACCTCCTCCTCCACCTCCACCACAGGACTCAGAGCCCCTGTACAAGGCCCTGGAGGAGCCACTGCTGATGAAACAGAGGGAGGCAGGTGTAGAGACATGGAGAGGCGGCCAGGACAGAGAGAAGGATGAGACGTTTCTATTAAAAAGAGATGGAATGATGGATGATTGGAGGAGTGGAGGAGAGATGGGGAGAGATGAATCTTTTACCTCTCAGAAGAGAGATGGAGAGATGGACAAATGGAGAGGCGGGATTGACAGAGGGAGGGAGGAGTCTCATATGCTGGAGAGGAGAGATGGAAGGGTGGAGGTGTGGCGAGGAGCGGAGACAGAGCGGGAAGAGACTTTTATAACTCAAAAGAAAGATTTTGGGATGGATGGATGGAGAGGTGGAATAGAGAGAGAGAAAGACGAATCCCTATTTTTAAAGGACAGAGATGGTTGGAGAGCAGGGATCGAACGAGAAAGCGAGAAACAGAAGGACAGAGTGCTTGACGTGTGGAGAGGAGGGATGGATGTAGACAGGGAGGAATCCTTCCTGTTTGAGAGCAAAGATGGAGGTCCAGATGGGAGGAAAAGAGGGAAAGACAGAGGGTCTCTTCGGTATGGTGAGCGAGAAGATTCTGACAGCTTCTCTCTGCCCTTGACCCCAGATCTCGACCTTGATGCTGACTCTTCACCTATCTACGCCCGAGATTCAAACCCCTCCCCTCTCTACCCTGGAGACCGCCGCTCACCGCCGCTTAGTATCTTCCCCCGAAGCTCTCCGCCGACAAATATATTCGCTCCACGAGAAAGTAACTCCCCTCCCAACAACCTCTATTCCCGCCATTCCCCGCAGGTGTACAGCCGGAGCAGCTCCCCTCCTCGCTTCTACACCCGCAACTCCCCCCCGACCCTCTCGTACCCAGACAGCAGCCCCGAAGGTCCAGAAGAAGTCAGCCCCACAGGTCAGCCTCAGCGGCCATCTCTGGAGCTGCCGTACAGCCTCGGGCGACCCCCGCTGGGCCCTCGGCCTAACCACCTCCAGACCTTCTACCAGCCACCACCGATGGCATCCAATGGAGAGGCAGGGTACACGCCAGAGCCCTCCTCTGAAGGAGATGATGGACAGATGCAGCGGGTGACGAGCCTGTGACTAGGGCGGTGGTGATTGGGGCATAGAAATCAGGGAGGAGGAGGAAGATGGTGATAATAACAACACATAATGACGATCAAGCTGATGGAAACGATTATGATTATGTTAATGAAAAGGTTAATGATGATGGATGATTAACAGTGATGCCTATGAAAGTGATGGCTCCTCCCTGCTTCTATCTCCCGATCACCACGAGACTTCCCCCCTTTCCATGTTTTGTTACTTTTGTATGACTGTGATCCATTGATAACTCTTCCTCCTATTCCCCTCTCTCTTCTCTCTTTCCCTAAACCCTGCTGTGTCTTCCCATCTCATCGGTGCTTATCCTTATTGGCCTGTCGTCTAAGTTTCTATTGCTTCATCGGCTGGGTGTTGCCCCTCCCTGTAGCAAGCAAGCAGTGTGTCAAAGAAGCACTTGTGTGTTGCCAAAAAATCTTTTCAAAGAACATGTGCATGACTTTATAGTGGCTTTACAAGGCTACATACTGTAGGAGGAAGTGCTGAAGTGTGCGTGACGTACGAGTGTGCGCGTAGCTTGATGAGCACGGGTGTGCGCAAGGGAGTGTTTGTGTGTATGCGTGTCTGAGAGAGGAAGCGGGAGAAAGGGTGTGTGTATATACATCATTCTTGTATAATTAATGTATCACAGTGAAGCATTTTATCTATACCAACTGGAGGGCCTCTTAAACACATCCCCTCCTACTGATTTTGAACTCTTGACCAATCCTATTTCACATCAAGACCAAAACCTCTGCGCCCCGACCTGCCACTGACTGTAGGTGATGGAACTTTTGACTGCAGAGCCAGAGATCATGTAAAACCTCAGAACTTTTCTGCAACTCCCCCCGAGATCCTTGTACATATCGCCTCAAGTGTTCTGATTGTCTTGTATTGCTATTGAAGTTCAAGTAAACGTGAAAAAAAAGGTTCCTGTTTGTGTTTCTGTTCGTGCATGTGTAAATGTAAATGTGTCAACTTGCAGATGAGTTAGAGCTGTCTACTACTGCAGCCAGAATGATTTTAAAAAAAAATTACAGTTCAATCAGACCACTGGCTTATTACACCAACAGAACATTGTTAGAGTTTGTAGTCTAGACTCTGAGCTCATCTAACCCAGCAGATATGGTACATATAGGAATTGGGGAATGATGAGTAAACATGCCCCCTGGAGTCTACAGGTGAATGCTGAGGCAGTGGAGAGGTCGACACAGCAGGAAGCAATTCAGTGCAGCCACCTCATTGACAGATCAGAGGGAGAGATGGAAAATTCTGCAGCTTTAATAGACCAACAAGTTGGGAGGGTGTGCTTGGTATGTGATGTGAGGAGAGTGAGAAATGTTCGTGTCTAAGAAGCAATGTAGTCTAAGGTGACTGCCATTGGTGTTTTAAATTAATATGTTATTTTATAGGGAAATATTGAACCTTAATGCATCGATCTTACATCTAATTAAGATATTACATGCAAAGCAACAAATTCGAATGATAAGAGAGATTTCCCCAAAATAGACAGTAATGAGAATGAGCTCAAAGTCAATCCCGTTGCAAAATTTAAATGCTTTGGACACATCCATGCATTAATAATAGTGCAATGTCATTCTGTCAGGAACTATTTAGCGGCACAGTGATTGCTTTTAATTTTGATATTTTAAAGAAAAGTTGATAACACTTTTACATTTCCCTAAATAAGGTTTTGGATTCTCCCAAAGATGACGAATATAAGAAGAGAAGTGTGATGAAATGAATTCAATACTAAATGAACTGCAGTTGCATGGGTTCATCACAAAAACATATAGACAAAAAAAGCAGTCCATATAATAAATGTGAATGATGCTGTTTGCTTTCTTGTGCTATCTGCTTAAAGCTCCACTAATCAATATTTCTGGATTAGCCCCGAAACAGATCAAATGACACAGTGTAATGTAAAGTGTTGCTTGTTATGACAAAACAGCAGAGAATTATCGCCCACTTTCCAGCTCATTTGCACAGTGCTAATTGAACATCTTTGGCTCATTGTTTTGATTTTTACAGCTAATAACTCTACTGTTTTGATCCGGGTTCTCTTTAATCTTGTTTCAGTCGCAGCAGGCTGCTGTTTTAGGCAAGCTTTGATAAATCTACCCCGTGCCACCTGGCCAGCACCAAACAGCAAGAAGACAAAGTTAGTGACTTTCTGAAAAATTAGAAACTTACCCGTGGAGTCTGGGGAGACCAAATCAAAGCGAAAAGAGAAAAAATGTTGGAATTCTCAGGTGGACAGAGACGCTTTAGTCCAAATGAGAGATGACATGTTCTCTGTCTGCTTATGTAAACATGTGAAAGCTGTTTTACACGCTTGCAGTAGTGCCCCCAAGTGGTCAAACCCTTTAATTACATACATTACAATGAAATTTAAACAACTAAAAAAAAACTTTTATTTTTAATGATCTGTTATCTACAAGCATGCATAACTTCATAATGTCTGAGAACTAGTGGCATCCATCCTCTTCCATAAACAAAGATCCTGTTAGGAGTCCTCTCACTTACATAACACAGAGATGGACGGATGCATCCAATGAAAACACCCGATGCAAACCTTTTAAATGAATTGCTTTTTTGCTATTTGTGCTTTCCTTCAACAACATTCAGTGGGTGGATAAATAAACTACACAAAATAATTAACTTTTGTATGAAATATTTTACATGCTACATACTAAGTCATTGTAGAGTGCTAATTATTAACACTATCATGGACATAAAAAAGTGCTTTTACAGTTTTTGAATTGTAAAAAAAAACTATATATTTACAAGTGATATGTGGAGTGATAGTGATTCTGCGTTCAGTCTTGTTTGTAGTCTCATCTCACAGGTAAGTGTTACATGTGAAGCTAATGTCAGTTTCAAGGACAAAATGTTGACTGCTTGCTTTGACAGTATTTCATAAGGTCTGCTTTCCTTTTCTCCCCTCACTCTGTCAAAATACTGAGGTTTGTAGTTTGATTTCACAGGAAATGGTCTTGCATTCTTCAGATCTCTTGTCTGTCCAAATCAGTCTTCAGGCAGCAGGTGGATGCAGGTGGATGCAGGCAGATGCAGCGGTAAGTGGGAATGAGGTTTAGCAAACAGTATGGTGGGGTGACAGGGGGCTGTCAGGGGTCTCGGTCGGAGAGAGATCTGAACTGGAGCTTTTAAACATAGCCGAGATGTGGAAGGCCTGGGAGAAATATAAACACATGCCCAACTTGAGGATTAAGCAGACTTTGACATGTGGACACGCATTGATGCACAAAGACAAGCAGGCAAGTTATACTGACCACCCAGTAGGCAGTGAGAGCTCCCTGTATGTAGCCTGTTAATACATCAGACGGGTGGTGCCTGTAGTCTGAGATACGGGTCAGGCCTGTGTAGATTGCCAGCATAATCAAGAAAAACTGCAGCATGGGTCTCAGCAGCCGAGCTCCACGCCACGTCAGCCGTGCCTGCAGGTAAAACTATATTACAGAAACAAAAACAATATTAAATGCGCTGAGCAATACATTACAGATACAAGACGTTTACAAGTGAAGAGATAATTGTGGCTAAAGCTACGGATTACAGTGGGGAGGGGGAACAAAAGTTCTCTCTTTGTGTTGACGGTCAGGGAATTACAGCTTCCACCAGAAGGTAAGGGCTATGGTGGATGGTGATTGGATAAGTGGTTTCTGAGATGGGTTAAGATATGTTTTTGTTTTTTTGTGAGAGAGGTTTCATAAATGTGAGTGGTGTGGTAATGACAAATATATTTAATTTTGATACTACAAATGATTAAACATTGCATATGAAGGTTATAGGCGGTTATAGAATCTGAAGCATCTTTGAGAGTACTCAACACCTGTTTCTGGACTTATCAGTTATGGATAGTTAATTCAATTCAATTCAGTTTTATTTATATAGCTCCAGTCCACAATACCTCAAAGTGCTTTATATCGTACATAAAGGGTAAAGACCCTGCAATATTAGAAAGAAATCCCGAAATGGCAGAAACATGGCAAAAGACTATTCATAGATATTCATAAATATATATATTTATAATGTAAGCATTCATCAACTACTACCTTTGTATGCATTACTTTCTTGAGTCTTGGTGACCAAGTTCAACATTTTATCTATAATATTTTGCTAGCATTTGTGTTTGAACTCTTGATGAACAATTTAACTGTTAGCCATATTTTAGCTAAATAATGAGTAATAATTTTATTCATAAGATTAACTAGCTATTTAAAGTGTTTATCCGTTATGCTTAGGCAGCATTTGGTTTACTATTAGTTAACAGTGTCAACGAGCTAATGATGTACTTCTGTGTAGGTTTCCTCACCAGCTTTAATCATTTATGCATTCATCTTTTTCTCTACTGCTTAGTCTTACTTAAGTTTACTGTTCAGACTTGTATGGGTGCAGTTCTTTAATTTAATGGTTATTTCATTTTTTTGATTTAGTTGAGCTCTGTTAGCTGAAAACTTAGATACTAAAGAAATACCACCGGTGATACTTGTGCCCCTTCTTGGGAACATGGCTGGGAATTACTCTCTTAAGGCACTTTATAACCATTTTAACTTGACTTTTTATCCATCTCCCCTCTTTTTCACCAGTGCACTGTTAAAGCTTTCACGATAACTTTCAATACAACAGGAGGCAAATAATCTTGTTATTGTTTAATGGTAAATTAACAGTTAAGTGTTGTTTTATGGACACACGAGCAGCAAAAATTATTCTGAAATTATTCCTGATCTACTGTCACAGGTGTGTCACAGCCAACGCGCCACTCACATCATAAAACACCCGATATTGTGACGAGAGACTGTTGTGAGTCGGCTCTCATTGTCATCTAACAAAGTGGCTTCCACTTTTGGCACCCTAGTGTTCATTTGCTCAGAGAGATGCATGAAAATCACATTAAATTATCAACCCCCCACTCCCACCAAAAAAGGTACCATAGAAAGTCAAAAGAAGACAAAGTCAGGACAAAGAAAAGACTGAAAGTGCACAACTGTGCCTTCAGTTCCACTTATGAATTAGGCAGTGAGTTCCTAAGTTTAAAAAAGATTTTTTTTAAAAAAAATTATGAATAATAATTTCCCTCTTAAAATAAAGTGGTGCTAGTGACACTGTGAGAGAACAAAGTCGGGTAGCTAAAGATCCAGATGTGTGCTCCTGAAATAATAGATGTCGCAATGACCCCTCTGTGCTTTAGTCACTGAAAGCTGTGAAACACTGTTTTATATAACAGCAGCAACAGCAGTAAAAGTGATTCCTGTGCATCTGTTTCACTTTAAAGTGGGTAAACCCTCCTTAAAATGCTGTTGTAAGCTGAAAACTTTACAGTTTGTTGACTCAGACTTTGTCTAAGCCAGGTCCAAATCTTCCCACCAAAGGTTAATAGTGAAATACGCTCTCTTTGCATGTAATATAAATATGTAAAGTTCTATAGGACACTATAGAACATTTAAGATCAATCATGAACAATCATGTTATATTTTCTTTACGCTGAGCTTGTTAGCTGTAAAAATACTTGAATTTCTGCTGATGCACCATTTACGTCTGCATAAAAATGAGTACACATATTCACACACACACACACGCACACGCACGCACACACACACACACACACACACACACACACACACACACACACACACACACACTTGTACAATAGAGCAGCACAGTGAGACGAGGTCACACTCCTCCCAAAGCAGAACAAAGCAGTCTCTGTTTGTGCCGTATCTCCCTCCATTCCCTCATCTCTTATTCTCTCGCTCTTTGATGCTAACTGGACTGGGGATGAGTCCCTGTTTCATTCATTCTCTCTCAGCATTTTACAGAGTGATGGTAATTGGAAATTGGAGAGACAGTCAATTTTCTTTGCCAGTATGAATGTGTGGTGTGTGGGAGAGAAAAAGAGAGAGAGATAGAGGAAGAGAAACATTTTTGAAAAAGTGACTAATAAATAGAGATACTCACAGCTAAGTAGAGCATTGTGAACATTGCAAAAGAAGCATGGCCCGAGAAAAAGGACTTCCTGAAAAAGTGGAGAAGTATTTAGAATTGCAAATTTCAATACGACATTAAAAGCACAAATTCATGAATGCAGACACACACCTGGCTTCCTCCTCTAACTGGTGGTCAGGCTGGCGACAAGTCACTGTTTCAATGTAGGTCCCAGGTGTGCAGTTGAGTGATGCATAGGTAATGCCGCACACTGACAGGAAGTGCGGTCGCAGCCGTCCCACGCTGAGCTTGGCCATGTTGGTCAGTGATTGGCCAACACAACATCCAAACAGGAAGCACCCCAGCTCCTTGTACAGGCACGAAACATATACGTTCCTCACAAAGGCCTTCGAGCTGACACCGTGGAAACGCACCCGATAACACTCGCCGAGGGCGATCTAGATTCAGATGCAACGTGAGAATCGCAAGATTACATGTTGTTGTACAATAAATGACAATGGGGTGACTGATGCGACAGGAATGATGAAGATGATGAATACTCACAGTGAGGCCGGTGATGATGATGCCACCTGTGATGAGTAATTCATCTGGTATGGCTTCTCTGTGCAGGTAAGGATACGTGATGCTGGGATCCCCACAAATGAAGCCTCTTCTGTAAGGACTCAGTGCCTTTAGCTCACATGCAAATAAAGGGATGGAAGCTGAGTGGGAGGAAGAAAAGGGAGAAAAATAGAATTAGACCAAAATTAAGTATTTTAAATCCCCAGTTTCCCTCTGGGTGAAAGTATTCTTTGAAAGTGATACATGGGAGGAGAAAAGAGGAGTAAGTTCTCATCTCAGGTTAACCAAGAAGAGACATTGTTAATGAAAGACAAAAATAATATAATCAAAACATAAATTTAAAGCTACATAGAAGACAGATGAATAGGGATTTTGAGAAAGGAAAAAAAGTTTGGGAAAGTAAGACGGTTACAGAAAAAAGGAAATCCAACTTTTTCTTTGGAGAACAACCATTAGGAATGTCGGGGTCGTAACACTCCTCCACTGGGACCAAAGAAACTCAGAGAACAGCCGAAAGCTCCAGTTTCCTTACTGAATAAAAGCTGAATCCACTGAGAGTGGAAGAGCGGAGCAAGGCAGCGCTCAGTAAAAGACCCAGTTTGGCTGCGCATGTGTGTATTTGTGTCTAAGTGTATGCATTTCTGTTGATGAGGAGAGAAAGGGGGGGTTGTTTGTGACTCCAGTTGAGCTCTTCCCAACAAAACAAAGCGTAAAAGCGCCAATAGACCCGAGCCAGAACCAGCCTCACACTGTCTCTGTTTGTCTCTCATGTCCTCTCTCCTTCTCTGCCTCCTGTTTGCATGCCTGCACGCACACACAGAAAAGACAAGGGTGGGGAACAGACATCAAAACAGACAAAGAAAGAGAGAAACAGAGACTTCTCGCAGGGCCTCCACCCTTCTGCACAGATCCAATCTGTTTACAGGCTACTTCTCTGTCCAGCTTGCTCCAGTCAGCCAGCATTACATAACCCCTCTCCCACCACCAATACCACTATGAGCTAGGGTCAACAAGTAGAGTCGTGATCATGTATGTGTACACACACATGTGATAGTCATGGATCGTACATTATTTATTGAATTCCCCCTGGCCTGACTCTACCCTGAGAACTGTATGTTGTCATGGAAACTGCACAATTCCCTGGGCAATGCACAAACCAGCTGGCACAAAGAGCTGAAGAGCAGCAGAAAAAGAGGGGTGGCATGTAGATGAAAGGGGCGAAAACGAACTTTCTGTCTCTTTTACTTTTCTGGTTTCCTCCTTTTTTCACCTTTTTATATTTGCTGCTTTTTTTTTGAAGACTCTAAGATCATCACGTTTATAAGTACCCAAATACCCACTGATTTCTTGATGAAGGGATGAAAACAAAGTGGAACAGCACTTAATATGGGCGACGTGATCTTATTGAAAGCAATAACAAGTGCACGGGATTTTGTCGCTGATGAACAAATTCCTCAATGACTCGAGACTGTAGGAGAACATATGGATTTAAACAAACAACAAATGACTCGCTTTGATAATACCCATATTTCTTGAATTATTTGGAAGAATTTAACAGAATTGTGCAAAAACATCCACAAACCCTTTTCGAGACAACAGAATGTTATTAGCTGATTGAAGTCTATCAACTCACTGCTGAATCGACTGCAGATTTCAGCTATAAAAACATTCACGAGAAAACAAGTTTCTTACGTTGTAGCCTACAGTTAAAAAAATACAGAGACCCATTCAGCATATCGGTTAGTGTAGTTTGTACTAATGCACACTGGCACCAGTGTAGTTGTAATTAATGGAAAAACAAAAACTGCACGGAAGTCCAGTAACACAATGAACACAGGGCTGTATCAGCTTATAACACAGGGTTAAATGTTGAAGTATGTTATGCTGCGGAATACATGGCCTTGTACAAGGCAATGCAGACCCCTCAATAAGCAATATAGTGTTATGTTAAACACTGACAAATCCAATTAGCTAGGCCTTCTTACCAAGAAAGAGGCAGAGCAGGTCTAAGCCGACCAGAAGTTTTCTTTTGGATAAAGCCGGTCCAGTTATCTCTATGAGTTTCTTCCCAGTGCCGTTCTCCATCCCCAGGCCGCTCTTGTTTTCCGTCAGTTTAAGCTGGAGGTCCGCGCTGGAGACGGGCACACCGGCGCTCTGCGGGGCAAACGTATCCAACATGACGATTAGCTGCGAATTGTAGGTCGGTTGTAGATCTTACTGGCATCAGAAACTTGGGAGCGCCCTTTGGCTACTCATGTGCAGATCTCCAGGGAAAGTGAAAGTTAATCCAAAAGTTCCCGGAGTATTTAATATGCTACCTGGAGCGCGTGGTGACGTGTTTCTTCGCTGTCAAAGTGGAGAAATGTTTTACTCATGTTGGTGTCAGTCTGCAGGGCTCGTTCAGACTCGCTGAAGTGCCTCCGTCAGCTTAAAGATATGCGTGGTTTGCGAAACTAGTTGATAAAATCTCTCACTCTCTCCCTCTCTCTTCCTGTCAGCTCATCGAACATTAGGGAAAACAGGGAGGGAAAAATCCGCAAGTCCTAATTAGAGGCAGCACATCAGATATGTGTCACGGTGTGACGGTGGTTATTGCATGGATGCAGTCTGGAAGATATTTCTCCATCACTACTACTGTATGACTTATCGCCTACAAAAATGCAGGTGATGGGGGATTGGGAAGAAATCACAAGTAGACTAAATAAAACTTCTTATCACTTTAAAAAAAACACTGAGATTCGAAGTATTTTAAGTAATTTAGCCCACAGTTAAAAAAAATACAAATATTTGCCATTGATCTGGACATATTTTACTTTTTGAGTCTGATTACTTTAGTACTTTTTAAATGTAATTTTTACATAGTTGTTTGAAAAACACATCGTGTTTTTTTTTATCGTGGTTTATTGACCCCTTCAAATATATCATAAGTAAGAATAATCCTCAACTGAAATCTATAGGCGAATTCTACAAGATGGTGGTAGAAGTAACAAGTGGAGAAAAAGATGTTAACAGTATTTTGAGTTCATACAATCTTAACAAGACTGAATTTTCTTTTCTTTTCTTTTCTTTTCTTTTCTTTTCTTTTCTTTTCTTTTCTTTTCTTTTCCAATACAGTTTAAACTCTCAGGCAAGCCTTCTTGAGCTCTTCTTTTGGATGCTGGTATACTCTTTTCTCTGTCAAGATGATCCCACTGCTTCAAGGATGTTGAGTTCCAGGTTATGAGGAGAGCAGTCCACGACTAACAGTGAGTCATCATATGTTTTTCTTTCCAGCTATGCTTTTCTAGAATTGGCATTATCTTTCTTCTATTGAGGGACACGAGTGCCCAAAAGAAATAAATTAACACATTATTAAATAAATGTGCAATTAATTATTTTGCATTTGTAATAAACAAACAGTTTATTAAATATTTAAATTAAATTTACTGATATTTAATTAATTGCTTGTTACAGATTTTTATTCATTAACAACACACTTAGTTAATTATTTCATGATGTATATATTTAATTAATTTTGGCCCTCCACGTTTTCCAGATCTCTTCCATACATATTGTGGATGATTTCAGCCATAAATTTCAAATTTGGATTAATAGCTCTATTTGACTCATTCACTGTGGTTTTTGTGAAATTTGGCATACCCTATTCTTTTCTTCCTGTTTCCTTTCCTTGAACGTAGCTTCTTGACATTCACCCTTCCACTGAGGTCAAATTTTTGAGGCTTCTAGTGAACAGAATGGCTCAACTGAAGGGCCAGATGGAACTTTCAGTTCCCGTGTCAGGTCTTTGCTATGCTAATAATTTCCTTGTAACTAAAACCAATTCTGAAGTATGATCTCACTATCTCATCTACACATGGCATTTTGTAGAGGCTACAGCAGCCGTGACAGTTTGCCTTGAAACAGCTGTAATCTCCATATTTGGCCTTTTTTCCCCTCAAAATAGTATTTTGACTTTTTGCACTTATCCTCAAAAATGATCAATAATATATATTTTGTTCTTCTTAATATGTCCCTAATACTATCCTAATAACTACCCTAATAACACCCTAATTCAATACCCTGTTGTACACAACAATATTAAGTTTATATTTTATACTGTGGGCCTGTGTTAAGCGGCTAAAGAAACAAAACAAAAAGCATTCCTTTAAAAATGGTCAGGTTTGTGCCTGAACTATAAATGAGTGAAAAAGTAACCAATGTCCAAAGAAAAACTTAGAAAGACCTTCAGAAAGTTTGGAGAACGATGACTGAAAACCAATTTAAAACATTACAAGTAAGTACTTTATAAAGATGTGGTTCTTGTGTCAGTGACAAATAATAGTAAAGTTCAGCTTTTGGAAAATACCCACAGTGGTTTGATGCCAATGTGTGAAAGAACTGTGGTAACTGGAACATGCAGTTCCATGCAACGTGAAACTACAGAGCCAGCAACCAGTTATTTTAGCTTAAAAGCTAGGCATGAAGACTGGAAACAGCTGATAACGTCTATACTGGATACAGTCTATATGACAAAAGGGAGCACAGTCTATCTACCGGCAATGCTATATACTGGGAGAAATTGACCCAAGCTGGTGTGCTGTCACACTCACGGGAAGAACCACAAACAATGTAAGTGACCCAAACACAGTGATTGGAACATGGGCAAGAAGTGGGTTATATTATTATTGTGGGCAGAAAACCCTTTTGGTCCATGTTCCTCTGGGAAGTGAAGGGACATGTGCTATGGTGCGGCTGGGAGCTCCACTCATACTCATTGGAAACCAGGTAAAAGCCATTCCACAACGCACCACACGTACTTTAACAGCCAAATATAAAAGACACATTTTGGCAAAAAAGAGGGACCCAGGGTACCCATGCGTACGACCCCAGACTGAACTCTCCTACCTGGATTGACTCCATAGGGGTGCCCAGGGGAGTTCCGAACGAGTATAAACTAGCAGACCAAGTAGCTTCAGGATTTGAAAGTATATTCATCTGGGTAACGCCTAATAAGAATGTTGATCGCATTAACTATGTACATTACAATGTGCTGAGACTCTCTAACCTTACTAGGGATGCCATGGAAGGGTTCGCAGAACAATTGGGTCCGACCTCGTTGATGGGAGTGCAAAATCGAATGGCCCTTGACATGTTGTTGGTGGAGAAAGGGGGCGTCTGTGCCATGTTTGGAGACATGTGCTGCACCTTTATCCCCAATAATACTGCTCCAGATGGCTCGGTAACCCGAGCTCTGGAGGGCCTGAAAACTGTCTAAAACCATGCATGAGGACTCAGGTATCAACAACCCGCTGGAGAGCTGGATGTCATCCGTGTTTGGCCAATGGAAGGGTTTGGCTATGTCGGTTATGCTTTCAATTGCTACATTTTTAGGGATACTGGTCACCTGTGGTTTTTGTCTCATTCCGTGTGCCAGAGCATTGTTGGTAAAGGTAATAATAAGGGCTGTGGACCCCGGAGCGGTTGTTCCGATGTCCATAATGCCACTGATTTCTTTCAAAATGTCAAAAGAGGGAATGTGGAGATACAGCAATTATTTTACTGCTAGAATATAACCTGCATTATTAACATTGGATTAATAATATATCCTACAGCCTTGATATTGCATTAAAGATGTTTATTAAAGCTATGGCCATCACCTTAACCTTTTTATTACAGGTGCAGCTATGATTATTTTACACACATTGCATGTTTGTGCTCATTTAGTGTTGATGCTCAGTCTATTAAAGAAGGTTTTAAGCTTTGTGGAGCGTTATGTCTTCACAATCTATTGTGTAGGTGACTTGGAGCATAGAAGGATAGACAGCAAACACGCTTACAACACACATAATCCAGAAGCCTGCCAGGCCAAAGGCCCGAAATTCATTTAGCTTCTAACTGCATTTCAGTTTACTTAGTAACAGATGACAGAAGACCAGTTAAGAAAAGGACAAGTACTCAGAGACCATCTAGACTTGAAATGTATTGCCATGTATGAAAGATGTTATAGAAAAAAGAACTTCTGTGTCTGTTTTTAGCCATCTAAGATGTACCTTTTACTGTAATCGATGTATTTGATCTGTAATCGACGCAAGAAGGGGCGTTAACCCTGATGTTATATAACTATTGCCAAATGTATTTTTAGCAGGAGATGGTGTGCTGATGTGATGCTGTATACTTCTCCTCCTGCGTGTGTTTTAATAAACTCATTGTTTGATTGCACTCTCCTGGGCCTCCGTTGGTTTGTTTCATTTCTCAACATTTTCGAACTCGTGACATTTTGTTCATTTATGCCTTTGTTTTTGTGTAGCAAAATCAGTAGCACCACTTTCCTAAAAGTAAGCAAACCAACGTGTACACTGAAAAATTTCAGCACAACAAAAAGTGACCCTATTTACAATGACAGAAACAAAAAGTCCCAGTTGTATGTTTTCTTTTAGAAACTTTGTGGTGGTTGACTCCTGAACGAACCAAGGAGGGGAATAACCAAAAAGGCACCAAAGATATGTTTTTAAAAAAAAAACAATTTTTGCCTCGTCTTACAAGAGACGAGTACAATTAAAGACTTTACATTTTGCTGTACCCTTTTCCAGTTTTCATACACTTTAAATGTACTTATAAATTTCCATTTTTTAGATGACCTGGTGCGATAAGCTTGATTTTTTAATATGTTGCATTTATTTTCATTACGTGGGACATGGAAAACAAAAGCTTGCTCACAAGGAAATAAAACACAACAACTTTACGAGTCGTTTTATCCTCACAAGTAGTGTTACAATGTATAAAAAATATTCTTTTCTTTTTTAAATTAAGAGTAAATTAAGAAATTGGTGATTAACTTATTTTGTTAAGTGAAACTGCAGCACAACATTCAAGATAAACAGTTGTCAGCAGTAGGTGGCAGCAAAACCCCTATCAGTGGATGCTCTACTCTAGCAATTATCCTGGGGTTTAGCCATTTTTGTTTTTGTTTTCATACATGGAGGAAGATAGAAAGATAGCATGATCCTGACTGTGAAGTGAAAACACAGAGAGCTACTTCCCTGTGAGAAAACCCAGCACATCATAACGTTTGTTTGTTTTTTTGGTCAATTAAGTGAAGTGGGGCCACATGTAATCCTGACCACAGAAAATCCAGGACGAAATGTGCGTGGGTGTGTATTTGTGCAAGGTTGTACGTTTAGCAGTTGTTTACTTTATCTGAGGCATTTAACAGTGACATAGTTCCTCTTTTACCTTCCTCCGACATTTCGTCACTTTCCGTAAGGAAGCTCGAGCGTCATTTTGTAAAATGATTTTATTCTCATACATTACAAGGCCTCTATGCAACTTCCTCTTAACAAAGGTCTCTGAAATCTTTTAAAACAACACGCAAGGTGAACAGATGTAGATCATAAATTCAGATAAACTAAATACCACACACACACACACACAGATGCTGTTCGTTTTTAACAAGCTCAATCTTTTTCAAAACAGCTGGGAAACTCTTGAGGAATTTGTCTGTGCTGCCTTATTTTTAATAGTTTGCTTATTTGTATATTTGTGGTTAGTTTCATTGAGGAACAGAAGACATGGGTTTGCCCTGGTGGAGCATATGACCTTCTACAAATGCTCGTAATGCTAAATTTCTTATTTTCTCTGTTTCAGACTGACTTCCTCATCTCAGTCACCCACACAGCAAGAATCCCCACATTTTTCCCATTACCGTGTCATGCTTCTCAGTTGTCATTCCTCATGATATTTTAATTAAGTACTTTTTTGTTTTTGTCTTCCCCAAAGTTTAAGGTTAGATAGCGTCACAAAGGCCATGACATTATCTAATGTTACTAAACAAAAAGCAATGGAAGATGTAAAACTTACCTGTGTATTATAATGTAAAAAACATTGTTATTGGGCTTTGCATGAATGCAGCAATAAAGGTTTTTGGACATCACTTAAACTTTCGAAAAAATCCCCCAAAAACTCAACAGAGAAGAAACTAAGAAAAACTTTGAGACAGTTCAGCTGAAAATCTAATTTGAGAGAAACTGAGCTGAAAGTTTTGGCAGAACTAACCTGTAGTCAGTCAATGTAAATAGTGACAGTGGCCCTCCTGTCAGGTCTGTACTGGAATGGTTCAACCCTGTGAGGTGAAAGTGCCTACTCTAACCCTGAGCCTACATTTTGGAGAATTAATAGCCCGCAGATACAGTTTATCTACAAAATATAGCAGATAAACTGTGGCTTTCAGAACATCCTTACTTATCTGGCATACATTTAACAAGATGATTGACACAATAGCATCACACAGCTGCTTCAGATTTGTCCGCCGCACATCCATCACGCAAATCTTTTAATCTAGTGTGGAAGCAATTACAGTGAACTTACTATCATATTGGAATATTCACTTTGAGATGACCTGAGCTTTGAGACATGGCCCTTCACCCTGCTGGAAGGAGCAATCACAAGATGGGTAAAGTGTGATCATGAGGGAAGACATATGGTCAGCAACAATACTCAGGTGGAATTTAAGCAATTCTTGGTAGTTATTAAAGAGCCCAAAGTGTGCCAGTAAGCAATCCCCTGCACAACCAACAACACCACCAGCCCAAATTTGTGATGCAAAGGAAGCTCGATCCAAGTTTTTATGGTGCTTTCAGCAAATTTTGACCATACCACCCAAATGTTGCAACTGACATCGTGGGTCATCAGACCTAGCAACAGTTTTCCAGTCTTCAGTCGCCCCACTTTTTTGAGCGTTTACAAACTGATTAATAATAAGTGGATGTTTGAGCTGCTATCATATGTATACATATATGGAATGAACAGCTCAACTGTAGGTATGCAAATTTATTGAGCAAATCACAGTGAGTTTTGTACAGTGCATACAAAATATGTAAAAGAAAAATTGGGAGTTGAAAATTTGTAATCACAATAGACTCAATATAAACTATTGAGTTCCATGCTCTGTTTTAAACTTGTCTGTAGCCAACAAAATATCTTGTAAATCAGGGCCCTATTAGGAGACATAAAAGTAGAAGTATTGGAACTTAAAAATCATTCAAATAAATAAAAAGTGCCAATATTTCTCTACCACAAGTTGTTCACTAGTTTTCTACTTAACAGCACTAAAATGCTAAGCAATGATGTCAGAGATGAAGAAACAAACACAGGAACTAAACATGGCGCACAGGCACATAAATGTGTTTTATTGTATGCAAAATAAGTTTGTAAGTACACGACAGCAGAGCAATAATGTTTTTAAATGTTATTCTTACTAACCCATAACCTCTTTTGAATTCACGTGATCTAAAAAGTACAAAATACAGCACAAACATTACCCTCTGTGTGAACAATACACCATCTTTTTGGTTTCTATGATAAAGCTATATATATATTTAAATATTTTTTTGTATACATTAGTGCCAGAATTTGCACTGTGTTTGTTTTCTAAGTGGTAGCCACTTCCTTTTACCCATGACTTCTTGTTCAGGAACAGCCACAAACATTCCCTTAACATGATCCAAAAATAGTATTAGAGTGCCATTACCATAAATCCCAATATACACTATGCTGACTCTACAGATCATCACCTGATGCTAGAGGAAGAGTCTTCACTAGTTATTCACCATCAATTACACAATAGACTGTAATGCCTGTGATCAGTCCAGTTAGTTCTTTTACAGTAACCCCCCCCCTGCATGTATTCATATCTGCATTTAATTATTACTAGTTTTTTTTACAAGTTTTTTTAAAATGTGTAAGTGACTTTTACACCGGTGATAATAAATAAATAGAAACATAAACAAATGGCTGTCCATGTGTTTTTATTACTGGTTTATTGCTACCTTGACTTCCCTGTCTTGCAGCTTTTTTTATGCTGCACTATCCAGCAGAAAATTTCACTGTAAACTATCAAATAGTTGTTGATATATTTTAGTCTGGACCAACATCTAACTTCAGCATGACTATTTATATGAATGCGAATAAAGTGTTTATGTAGTATACAGATAGCAAAAAGCCCTTTCTCAAATGTGTGTGGATAGCGATGTCGGCGTAGACTCTATTGCAAGAGGATCAGTGAAATGAGCACTCGTGAGGTAAGGAAAGGACAAAAAAGTAATTAATTGATAAGTTTATATTTAACATCTCATTGTAAATGTCACGTCTGTGCAGAAAGCAGCACCAGCATGTTCTGTTTGTTTCAACTTGAAATGTCAGTCACAAGTTATTAGCTGCTTCTATAGCTAATAACTGCCTTTTGTGTTAATGGTTAGTTTTTATAACAACTGCATAAACTGGAAGACAGACATGTCAAACATGTTGAAAAACTGAAGCATCCTGTAAGTAAGTTAATGCATATGTAAACATCACATTTTGAATTCAGAAAGCCAGATAGCCATGCCACTCTGATAGAATTCATGGTTTTGCGGCATGTACCTCGTTTGGGTTTCTAAACGTTCTTTGATGGTGAAGCAAGTGGTGACTGTGATGGTGAAACTGATATGCTAATGAATAGAAGACCAAGCTATTACATGGCATGTAAAATATTTAGAAAGACAATGAAATAAAATAATAATAATAGAATAAAGATAATAATATTGGCCAGTTATATTTTGACTTTGTGTAAGACAGAAGTTCCTTTCTTAAATAAAAGCATTACTTTTTTTTTTTTTTTGAGAAAATCACTCTCACTATGTAATCCTTTTAGTGTCACTCTTCAACTCTTCGTGCCTTTCCCCTCTCTTATACAGATATGGTGGGGAATTCCCATACTTCTATTATCAAAGCATTGAACTGTACCTGTTAAGACTAAAGTTTGACTAGCTGAAAAGGGAAAATAGTTTTTGCAGTATTAATAGATTCCACCATCCAGCTCCTCTTAATAGCTGAACCTCTTGCGGTCTTTCTCTTTCTTGGGCTCCCTCTCTCTCTCTCCCTCTCTCTCTCACACACACACACACACACACACACACACACACACACACACACACACACACACACACACACACAAAACAAAGGGATATCCCTAGCTTTTTTTTTTGTTTTTCAAGCTAAAGTCAGTCTCATTACATGCCTCTGGTGAAACTGCTTGTAGTTGCTCCTAGCAGATAAAACTCTCTCGCTCTCTCGCTTTCTCAAACGCAAGAAGGGATATTCCTGGTTATTTTTTGTGCAACCAGTCACACTGTCATTTGACATGCTCCTGGTAAAACTGCTCCTAGTACTCTCTTCCCCTCTCTCTCGTGCTCTCTCTTTCGCTCTCTCTCTCTCTCTCTCTCTCTCTCTCTCTTTATTATTATACATACAAATGCCCTACACTGTCCAATCACCCACAAACCCCAAACACACACCGACATAAAAAAAATGAAAGAAAAAAAAAACTCCCATAAGGCCTAAGACAGCCGCGTCCATATTCGCTTTTTTCATGCGATCATTATCTCCATTGTGCCACTTTTGCCAGTCCTGCTTTGTTCAAAGTGAAAAGGTTAGCTATGTTTGACTGTTTCGGAATGTAGTGCAGTTGAAGGTATCGTCTCTTCTGTCCCTTTCGTTTTCCACCGCACTTCTCTAGGGTGCACTTGCGCAATAGCGAAGAGCGCTGCGGAAAATCTGCGCGTCTATTTTCTCACCTCCTGTAAGACCAGGGAAGGAGGGGGTGTGAATGTGTGGGGACGGTAGGGAAACCCATGACTTCCGCGTTTTTCCTCCCTGTCTGAAAGTGACTTCACGTACATAAATAGCTATGGGTGCTTACAGTTGAAACATTTAAACCAAGACACGCAGTGGACTCGGCGGACGAGCGGACTATCTTTTGGTCGTCAACCAACCAAAGCCGGACCTATAAAACTTTAAAGCTCGCTCAAACCTTTTATTCTGAGAAGATAAAAGCTGCTCAGTGTGAACTTTTTGACCGAAGCTCAAGCGACCCTACTGCGGATTGATGGGACAGCAAGCCAAAGACGTGGACGTTGAAGCGCTTCAGGAAAGAAGCCCTCAGCGTGGAAGGTGCCTGGACAATTTTTTAGTCATGTCCATCAGCTTTCTTTTTGTGGCAACCACAGCTCTTGCAGTCGGAGGAGCGATGGTTGTGATGGAACTGCGGTCGGACATGAAGTCCTTGAGTTCGCCCCCATCAGTTGGGACGCCGCAGAAGCAGACGGGAGACGCATCTTCCCCAGCATATAAGGTAATTAATTATTATCATTTTGTTCAGAAAGTTTGTATAACCTTTTACTTTATATCGTTTCTTTTCTTACATTTATCCATTTTGATTCACAAATTCTTTACTGTTTTGCCAACAGATGGAGAAATTTTCCTATTTACAAGCCGCCAACTCAAGTAAGTCTTTTACTGATTTTCCAAATATATAAAGCCATGTAACATAAAGTCTTTTGAATCTACAGAAAAAACGGAAGTTATAACATTTTTTTTGCAAAAGATTTAGAGTAGGCAGAAAATAATGACCTCGTGGTTTAACGTTATTGTTAGTCTTTTACTGTTTGCTGTTTATATGAAAAGTGTACATTTAAGTTTTTGAGAAAAATAAAAACCCTATTTTGCATTACAACAAATGGGGTTACAAGTCTTAGCAAATCTATAAGTGTAACCGCCAAATCTGATTATCTTGTGTAAACAAAAACTAAAATAAATGTAATTGTCTCCTCTTGCAGAGTTGGAAAACTCCACCATGCAATGGAAATCCATCTCATATGGTAAACGGACATCTGTAGGAAGCAACTTTGTCTTCGACCCAGAGCGGCATTCACTGACGCCAGTACAAGATGGAGCCTACTTCATGTATGTTGAGCTAAATTTCACCTGCACTTCCATATGCAACGCGGGTGTTCTCACGGTGAAAGTAGGTGATGAACTTACCTGCAAAGTGGAGCTTCCAGCAGGTATACTACCTGTGAGCAGGAAATGCTGGACTGTTGCTCAACTAAAAAACCAGGGAATGCTCACTCAGATGACAGTACAGAAAGGCCTAGAAGACTGGAAACTGGAGCTGCAAAGCTCAGGATTTGGAATTTTCCTCATAGACCCATAGATGCACATGCTGGAGTGCTACTGCTGTTATCTAGAAGTAAATGGACCCGAGACACGTGGGTTGTAACGAGTAAGAACAGAAGTCTGTTTTTTCATAAACCCACATAGTTGAAAACGGACAGGCTTGGGTGCCGTTTTTCACAGCTAAGACGAGCTTCCTTGCAAAGGTTCTAGGAGAAAGAACCTTATGAGACTCAAGAAAAGCTGCATTTGTGATAATGCAAAGAGAATATGGAGAGACTAGAAACTTGCCTCATTGTATGTAATTATGTAAAAATGTTTCTCTGTATATTTATTTGGTGATATGGAATTATTTATGTACTTATGTTGCTTTTATTTATAACTTTTATTTATAGAAATGTTTATATTTTGTATAGGATTTTTTTTAAATGTACAGTAGATGTCACTACACTGATATTGATGTGCAATATACAGATTTCAAGTTGTCATTAGGCCTCTGCAACCACAATAAAAAAAAACCCTTTCAGGGATGCATTTAGTTCTTCTGTTGTTAATCTGTTCTTGGAAGCAATGAGTAACCAAGTGATGAGTGAGATTGTGCACTTATGCAGAAAAAAAGTCAGAGTTAATCAAAACATATCCAGAATTTCTAAAACATTCAGTTTATTTGTTTATTAATTACAATTAAGTGTAAAGACTCAACCTAAGAAATTGTTTTGCTTTTAAAAGATGTCTAAGTCCTGTGGACGAACCCATTGTTGAATGTATTTCTCTGTAATCCATATTAAAAACATGGATGTGGTGACATGAAGTATTTTTTGGTGTTAAATAAGAAAATGTGAAAGCGACTGTGACAAATTTTACCTCAATGTTACACACCTCATTCCGGGAACTGGATGCACATCACATCCTGTTTATTTACCATGATGTGTGGTGAAGAAAAAAAAACCTATAAGCCACCAAACAAACACCTCCCGTATATACGTGAGATGGAGATGTCAAGTGAAACAAAATTTCATCTGGTGCTGTCATAATGAATGAGGATTTTCATGGTTCCAACAAATGCTCAAAGCAAAAAGCAGGCTTTAGTACATGTACATATAAAAAGATGGTTTTGGTCTAAAAGTAAGTACTGAATGTAACGAACTAAAACAAAGTAAGTTTAATCATATCCTTACTTTTAAAGATGAATGTACACTTTCTGCATATGACAAAAACACATGCACTATCAGTGCATGTGTTTTTGTGCATATGCAGGTACAGTGTTTTTCTTTTTTTTTTCTTTTTTTGCTTATATGGACTCACTTTTCTAAACTAGTGATTTTCAAAACTGAAAGAAACATAAAAATAAAGAAATTTCAAGTTCAATCAGTTGTTTATTTTTACAGGTACACATTTGGTGTGATGCATTGTTTTTGGGACCAGTGGTTACGAGTGAACCTACAGCTCCCGTTATCTTTATTGAAGTTGTTTACAGCTGGTTTAGCCCGCAAGTTTGTTGTTTTTGTTCATTCCTCTAAACGATTCAGTGGCGCACACAGCTGTACATACCTGTACCTTAAAAATTAGGCAGATACATTTATAACTTTATTGACTTTTTATTTAACATTTAGCAATTTTCTGCCAGCCTTCCAAACATGGACAAGACTTGTTTGGTGCTGTTACACTGCTGTAATGTGTATAGCTAAGTTAAAAAAATCTTGGTTCACTTATGGCACATCTGCAGTAGTGTCTTTGGACACGAGAAGTCACCACCTACCAGCATTGCACCCTTAATAGGTGACTAGGTAGTGGCAGGTGTTCCACCTTTGGTACAGCTTCCTGCAACCAGTCAAAAACCCTGGTGAACCTGATTGGCCAACTCTTTGACTCCTGCTTTGTCTTTCATGGACTACAAGCGGGCAAATGCGGCGTTGCAAACTTTCTGTTAAGAAACCTCCTCGTAATGTGTTTCTACAAACTGTAAAGCTTAGGGCAAAAGGCCATAAAGTTGTTTAATCTCTCTTTCTTGTATAACAATTACTGTTTTTTGGGAGTTTCCATCTTTGGTGAGTTCTGCTATATGCACCCACATATACTTAGTGTGCTAGCAGCTGAGAAATCTTTGGTATGATAAACTTGGTTTGTAATACATGTCCCAGGTTGTTGTGGTAGTTTTATAGTTTTCTTCTCTTATTTTTACTCTAGAACAAATGTCTTTACTTCTAATAAATTTTTATTTGTTTATCTTTGAGCAAAATCTGAAAACAAAAGGGAAAAAGTTGCTGCGTAGTTTACCTTTTTTGACTTCATGTTGTTTCCTCAGTGATTTTCCTTATTTCATAGTGCAGTCAAATAGTCAATAGTCTGTCAAATAAACTTCAGTTCTATCTAAATTCAGATCAAGTTAGATAGGACAGTAGCATTGTAAATAAAAGACAGATTTTGAAAAGTAAACCACTTCTCTGCAGCTTTCTTAGCCAACTATAACCGTCACCGCACATAGAAACTCGTGAAAAGTTTGCACGCTGAATAGTTTATAGCAGCTCTGTTGCAGCACATCAAATTGCCCTTATACCTTTATGATTAAGTGCTGGTTTCCCCACACATATGCAACAGTGCAATTTCATATGCTTTGTCAGTCACTCCTTGTGCCACAACACCCACACACACTTCAAAGCATGGCAGCTCCTGCCAAAGAAAACACATACCAACATGTACCTGCAAGCTGAAAGAGAAAGTGACCTTTTTTCACCTTAAAAATGAACAAAAAAACCCCAAATTTACAGTAAATTCCAAACAACGGAACTGACAATATTTTTGGCAACAAACATGGATAATAAATCTGATTTTGCTGACTTAAAAGTACTCTATCAAAATTATTTTCAAACATTTGACCTGTTAACATATGCATTAAACAAGATTAGCTGTAAGATTACATACAGTTGATGCATGATGGCAACGTACCCTTTACTTGCTTACAAGAGACAAGTCTGAAATGGAGCTGTAAAAGTGCTTTCGCTGAGGTGAAGATTCACAAAACACTAGTCAAGCTTCTTTCTTTCTTCAGTTTAAACCTTGCATTGTGTATGGCTGCAGCTGCTTTTCAGGACTCATGTGTGTCAGTGTCCCTGTTTGCACATCTCTGGCTCTTACCACCAGATCTGTGAATGTGCAGCCCTTGAAACGTATTGCATTGTGAATGTGCATGTGAATTTGCATGTGCATGAAACACAAGACTTTTACTATATGTGGAATTACTTATTCCCTTTTCAGTGGACATTTATCACGTCAAACAGATCGTTACTACTGAAGCATTAAGGTGCAAGCAGCCTTTTATTGATGCATCCTGTTACTGTTGAGGAGGAATGCATCAGATTTTATGACCTGAATACATGCTGTGTTTGAAAGCTCATGATGTTCACAAGAAAATTTGTCAGGTTAGTAGAATGAAGCAAAATGTGCCACGCTTGCTTCTGAAATGTAGTTGAAGTTGAAGAAATGTAGTGAAAACAGAGACTTGAAATAGTATGTAAAACATGGGTGTAAAACCCAAGAAAACTATGTAAAATAAAGCACTAACATAAATAGACAATGGACACATTGCACCGCTGCAAGTAATAAACCTCAGCAACATGATATGTTTGTACAACCATTGCTTTCGAGCTCAAGTTTGCAAAGACTATCTTGGTTTGAGCCTGTTCCTCTCTGCACAGATGCTTATCTGTGTATTGTGGCAGGAAATGACCCAAATATTTCAAAGGTATCTGAGGTCAGTCTTTCCACTTACTTATGTCTCTGTCTTAGTGGTGATTTAGTTACCTGTCTCTGCACCTGTCTTTACTAGTCCATGTGCTTTAGTTTTATTCTCACTCCACATCACACACTTTCATTTTTCTGTCTTTCCACTCTACTGCCATGGAAGCAGCCATTTTTGGCTATTGAACCCTCATTGACTATCTATATGGTTTACTTCTTTCCACTTGAAACTGCTTCAGTGATGTGAAACTTTCCCCTAAAGTGTGAAAGTAGCTGAGTCAGGAACACTAGACCCAGCATCTCGATACCCCCCCCCCCCCCCCCCCCCACTCCACTCCCTCCCCCATTTTCTCCTCACTGCATCCTTACTCAACCACATCCTGCACTTCACACACACATATAGTGCCTTGCAGAAATTGGTGTTTGTTGCATCTCTCAATATGCAGCTATGTAATGTGGGTTGTCTGTGGTTCATCACAGTGTGTTTAAGGTATCCAAGCTGTTTCCAAATGATTTTATGAGTGTTCACACAGTTTTATATGTGAACAAGAAAAAAATCTGCCGCATCTCATTCTTTCACTTATGAGATACCTTCTTATTCGTTGTTCTTGTTGTGTGTCATAATCAGGATATGATACTGCTTTGCAATTTGTTTGATGAAAAAAACATTATTTATTTTAAACAAGAAACCACATTGCAAAAATAGCATTATATAACCTGAATATCAGATACTTTTTTATAAAACAACAAAATGTTATTTCTTCATTGGTGATCCAAATACATACACCGGGTACAGCATATATTATCTATTTTGTGCATATATTATACATAGAAATCATCCAAACAGATGGTGTAAAATTAACATTGAGTAAATAGAATAAGATAAACTGGCACACACGTGTCTTTAGGGATATACCATAAAGGCCCCCATAAAGTTAAGAGTAGACCCTCCATGAATCTTCGTTATATTCTTCAGTGTCACATAAATTTCATCTCCAACTTGCAGCTGGAAAATCCCAGCCAGGTAACTGTTCCACAAATCTTCTGAAGCCTCTGGAGGCTTCAAATGAGGTTTTGAGGTTGAGCAATGAATACTAGAAGAAAAATATGATAGGTGTCACATTTAAATCAACTCAGCACAAACATAAAAATTACAGACAGGCAACACACAAATAAGCACACCAATAACAATGGGAGAGAGGAAAGAAAGGAAAGAAAGAGTACCTTTTTGATTGCATAAGTTCTATAGGCTTATCATAGGCTTTGGTCTCCTTCAGGACTTTGTGCTGGCTAAGTGAACACTCTTCTGCTGCATTCATAATCACTTTGGAGTAGATATAGTAGTAGCCCTCCTTTTCTACTGTCAGTCGGCCTTCTTTATACGTCATGTCTTGGGTGACTGCGTCACCCTCTTTTGCCCATTGCACTATATCGTTCGTCCCCGGCTTATTGGAGCCTTGGATAAAGAGAGAGAAAGCAGTTGCTTGGACCATAATTTATCTGAAGAGCTCATATGCAGTGTTCATGTTTGAGTGATGAGGGGAGCCTCTTACCCAGCAGGTGAGCAAAGGGTCTCCTCTCATCTCTGCTCATCTTCCTACCTGTTCAAGAAAGCAAGGGCAGATCAACTATAATTGATCAACCAGTGTAAAAAAACATTTTTAAATATACACATAAAATTCTTAAGATGAAGTTGTGGGGGAAAACAATACAAAATTTCAACGTGTTAGCAGTCTAATGGTCTAAATTATATGATGATTTAATTGTTCTGGCTTCCCTTCACAGACAGTCTTCTATGCAGATCATGAATTATCAATGAATCATGTTAAGAATGGGCATCTCAATACCTCCCACCAGACTTTCTGGCTTGGGGTTTGTCCGGTTCTTAAGGTCATGCTCATGGTTAGAAGAAGAAGCCTACAGGGAAGGAAAGATAAATACAACACAACAAATACTGAGTGAAAATCTTTGTGTGTTTGTCAAAATGTAGGAACCTCATGCAATAAGGGAAGGTGTCCTTTAGAGATGTATGGAAAAACACATGCACACTAAATGTAAATTCTGCAAATACATTATATATATATATATGTATATATACAAGTAATGTTTTACACATTAGATTATTTTTGTATGAAACCACATACTCCAATATTTTTTTCAATAGTAACCTAAATGTAACAATAATATTTTCAATAAAACCTGAGATCTTAGGTTTGATTTTTTAAGTGCAGTTCATATTATATACAAACAGAGGGCATAACACGTGAGAGGCAGGTGAATAATAAACAGCATTATGAAACTGTCTTTAAAAAAAGTGAAGTTAATGTTGCAGCTTTGTGCTTGAGATACAAATAAAGGGAAGTACAACTAGAGAAAGAGTCCAGTTGAAAAACGTGTCACTATCGACCTATAGCTTAAAGAGCAAACGAGGACCCACACCGAAACGCATTTAGCCCTGCAATGACATGTCTCAATATGACGTAGGGGCAAGCAGGGAAATTCTAAAGAGAAGGAATTTCCAGTCAGTCCAAGCACTGACACTTCTCTCTTCTCTCTTACAGCACACATGTACGCAATCACACACAGACCTCACCTCTGTCCTTTGGTAAAGTTTGTAGATTAAAAATCCCTCGACGATTATTCCCAACATGGCCAGTCCCACCAGCAAGAGAAGAAACTTTTGGAGCTGACTCCCCCACCTTGGTTTCCTTTCAGGGGGCATTTTAATGTAGCTGGCCTGACTGTCCACCACAAACACCTGGGGGCAGGCACCTGCGCCGCCCTCTGACATCCCACCAGATCAGAGACAACCTAAGATGTTAAGGGTAAAGGTCAAAGGAGATACTGAAGGAAAAAAAGTTGTACAGTAGAGTGTAAAGAAATGGGGGGAAAAGGAAGATCGGACAGGAAATATTTAAAAAAAGAATGTGTGACAAAGCAACAATCTACACATAAACAAATCAGTTATTTTACGGTCTATTTAGGTTAAGTAGCCATGATGCAAGCAGTTTCTGAAAACAATGTGATTTCTTCATATCCCGACTACTTGAACAGCACAGTGAAAGACAGCTTGTCAATCAAATGAAAGAATAATAAAAACAAAACTCTTGTAAGGGAAAGGGAAATTACCTTGGATTTAAATGTTCCTCCACCGCTCAGCCAACCATCCAGTGTAGTCTCTACACAGTCCTCTGAAGCTCGTTTGGGATATTTAATAGCAAATGTATTCTTAACGCATTTCAAAAATATAGACCTAACAACATTCTCTGAACTACGCTACTGACTCATTTATTAAATTTTTTTCCCTCTCTAGATATTTTCTCTCGGAGCAGATATTGGCACTCAGTCCAACCTCTAGTGTCCGCTTGCCTGCTGTCAACTATCGCAAATATTGCTTTTCAGCTCATATAAGGAGGAAATGAAGATGACACGGGGAAGGAGCAAAGACACAGAGACAAAGAGTGAGAGAGTGAGTAGTGTGCGTGTGTGTGGGGCACTCCCTACAACTGCTGAATATAGTTATCATCATAGCTGACACTTCCTTTTCTTACTCTTTAGTTTCTGCCTCACTGTTCTTGATGTTTTATTGAAGAGTCGATGTTGGTTTTAAGTTGTTTAGATTTTTTTTTATCAGTTTCTAAGAAAGTCGCTTCATCTAGCTATGCACATTTATAGCATTTCTAATACTAAGCAAGTACGCAGTGTGATGTTAAACTAAGTACAGCAAAACCAGATGAGCTGGGGTGGCAAGTTGTAACACACATCCGCACTCTTGACCACTACCCAGCCCTCCCACCACAGTGTTGCACTATCACCCACATTGTAAGTGATAATCTTGCATTAAACCCCCCCTTTCACACATAAAATTTCTTTCTGTATTCTAGGTGTCTCAGGTGGATTAAGCAACTTGCTTTTATTTTCATTTTGAGGAACTTGCGGTGTTTCTTTCTCTTTTCTTTTTTTTTTTCAACAAGCAACAGCTTGCAGTGATTGAGCTTGATGGTTTGCAGCAGTTTGGAAAAAGTGAGACAACGAGACATTTTTTCCTCACTTTTGTAAGTAGTATTGATGTAGTTCTCACTTTTTTCCTTTGAAAAAATGTTTTAGTGACATGTCATTTTTTAAATGTATTTACTTTTATTATCTAACATCCTGAAAGTGTGATTCATCTTCATGTAAATGTGGACAGCTAAGTAGGAGTACAGAAATGCAGGCAGTCTGTGTTGGTTATGGTTCTTTTTTTTTTTGTTCTTTCGCATTTCCTGTTTCATAATGCAATCCTCGTTTTGAATTGTGGTACTGAATGCTTTCTTTTTCTCCCTGCTGCTTAAACACTGTCTCTAATGTTATGAAGAAACAGTCTTTTTGGTATCCTCTTTATCATAACCTGAAACCAGTATTTTTACAATCTGTTTTCTGCTGTAGGAGGGGAAAGTTTGACGTGACATACTCCATATGGTGAAACTACACACACACACTTACTGACTTGCAATATAAATTACTACTTCAGACACATACATTTAGACACACAAACAGAGATATGCAGTGTGTGCACAGGGCACTTGCAAGTTGCAAGGAGGGCAGAGACAAGTCTGCTGCCAAGGAAGGCCTGACTGTAGTTGTTGTGGTCGTTGCATGCTCAGTCCAACATGAATGACAAAATGAACAGACTCTGACAGACCCAGTGGTGAGTTACAGTAAAAGTGCTAAGACAAACAAAAAAGCAAGACTAAAGGAACTTCTTTTATTTCAGAGAGTATAAAGTTGACTAGTTTTAGACACATTAAGAGAAATAAAACCTACTGTAGGAAACCTACTGATACATTCAGAAAGTGGGAGAGAAAGTGAAGGCAGAACTTTGTGATTTACACAAACCCAGCATGTACAATCCCCCTGTAAGCAGGGAATTCCTGGTCAAGAATACACACAATCCAAATAACTTTCATTGAAATAAATTTCAACAAATCTGTATTACTAAGAAATTAAAGGACAAATTAGCACTCACACTAACAAGCAAATTATAACTTAATACTGTAACAATACATAAAAATGGTAGTCATTGAATAATGTATTGAATTGAATCATCGCTGTAACTTAATGGCTCTTAAGATGAGATGCAAGGAAATTATCAAGAGCAGCACAGTGCAATGAAAGAAAATGGGTCAGGAAACAAAATGTCAGGGAGTGCAGACACTGAAGAGGAAGCATTTAGTTTGAGAAAAAATGTAAGTTCGGTAATACTCTGAGTGTAACTGCAATATTTGCATTTACTTTTAAGTAAATGAGATTTGAAAATGAAATTAAAAACTCTGCAGTATCGGTGAAAATCTACAATGTTACAGAATCCCTTAAACAATAGAATTGGAGTCTCAATCATCTGGGGGGGGGAATCTAGAGCTTTAGTCAGCTTACAGTGTTTAGTCAGCTTCAAACTGTGCTACTGTAGATGTACTTAAGAGATTAGGCAACATATTGCATAATTCATCTTTTTTACTTTTCTGCTCAAAATAACAAATTGGAAAACATTGAAATTTAGTGCTTTGGTTGGATAGCTATATTCTGAGAACGCCACACCTCTAATCCCCTCACCTAAACTGTTGAACCTTGAGTGCTTCATTTTTTAATGAATACTCTTAATAACATTAGCGACTTTATATCGGTATTATCTGAACGTATAACAACATCTAGTTCTCTATTCATATTTACAATAATAATTGGCAGCTTATTTCACAACAACCTTACTTTTATGCAACCTTTTGTTTTTACTTTAATGTGGTTCAGCTTTAATTAATATTAGCTACTCAGCTAAAGTTAGCTGCTAAGCTACTTTTAGCTACTCTATCAGCTGTGCAAGCTAATAGTATGTGGTTTGAGTTAATAACTACATGAGACACAGCTCTAAATATACCTTAAGGAAAAATATAAAGGTTTTACTTACCATGCAGTTCTACAGCAGTAGTTAGAATGTGGATTTAATTCAGTGGACTGCTTTGTATTTATCCATAGATAAAGACAAAGAAGAAGTGGGGTGCCACCTGCTAACTTTAGCCACTTTTTGCCTCCTTTTTGCCTTCCCTAATAGATCCATGCTTGCTTAAACCAGTTGATTTTAAATACATATTTGAAATCTAATATTTGAGTGCTCACTGCGGGTTAGGGACAAGACCCTGCCCCAAGTGGAGGAGTTTAAGTATCTCGGGGTCTTGTTCACGAGTGATGGGAGAAGGGAGTGGGCGATCGACAGATGGATTGGTGCAGCGGCTGCAGTGATGCGGGCGCTGTTGTGGTGAAGAGAGAGCTGAGCTTAAAAGTGAAGCTCTCAATTTACCGGTCAATCTACACCCCTACCCTCACCTATGGTCACGAGCTGTGGGTAGTGACCGAAAGAACGAGATCACGAATACAAGCGGCGAAAATGGGTTTCCTCCGAAGGGTGGCTGGCCTCTCCCTTAGAGATAGGATGAGAAGTTCGGCCATTTGGGAGGGGCTCCTGGGCGCCTCCTGGGCGAGGTTCTCCGGGTCAGACCCAGGACACGCTGGAGAGATTATATCTCCCAGCTGGGCTGGGAACGCCTTGGTGTTCCCCCGGATAAGCTGGGGGAGGTGGCTGGGGAGAGGGAGGTCTGGGCTTCTCCGCTTGGGCTGGTGCCCCTGCGACCCGGCCCTGGATAAGCGGAAGAAAATGGATGGATATTTGAAATCAAATCCATGGGCCCTTATTATTCATAAATTAAATAAATTGACATATGACATATTGACCAGAGGTGGGACCAAGTTAGGGCTGGGCGATATGACCCAAAATTCATATCTCGATATTTTTTAGCTGGATGGCGATATAAGATATATATCTCGATATTTTTTTTAAGCCATAAAGTAAGAACAAAAAGAGTTCTTAGTCAAAGCTGTGTCCCAGATGTCACACAGGCACTTTTATTAACATACAGCACAGATGTACATGAAAAATTACTCAAAATTAAATTATGAGCATTCATTAAATAATAATGCTCCATAAATTAAAGAAAACAAGGTTGTTTTTGTGCTAAACAAAGAGCTCACAATTGTGCAGTCAAAATGTAAACTAAAAGACGCTGAGCGTAATAACAAAGACAGACAGATTTTACAGCTGCTCTGTTCCCAAGTTTTACTGTGTGACTGATAGCCTGGAGTTTGAAATCCGCTTCATAACCACGTCTCTTACAGGTGCCGTTTATGGTCCTTATACACACACAATACGGTAATATTACGTTGATGCACAGTACGTATCACTCCGCGAAGCTCCTCGGTAGCCGTAATGCGCCGACAATCTATCAAGCGGTGCAGCTCCGTAGCTTACCAAAGTCGTACTCAAACATTTTTGACAGATTGCTGAACGCCGTGTACCACATAAAATCGGTTCGCGGCCACCAAGCACAACCAGAATTCATACATAAGGCGCGCTATCAACTTTTGAGAGAATGAAAGGATTTTAGGGTTAGCGCGGTTAGCTCGTTAGCGCGGTTAGCTCGTTAGCATGTTTAGCTCGTTAGCACGTTGACGCCGTCCAGCCCCACGCATGGGGCGATGCGCAGTAACTCGTTAACGGAGATTTGCCGTGTCCGTCTTGTCGCTGCCTGCACGTGAAGCGATGGGGTAGGAGGGGGAGTTGTCTTCAGTGAAGGCGAGGCGGAGTAACGTTGCGTAGAGACAAAAATGGACGAAAGAGAGGCAAACTTGCGGCTCCACAACTATAATTATAACGTAACATAGACTATATCGATATAAAGGATATTGTCACATCTTATATCTCGTATAAAAATATATCGATATGTTTTAAAAACTCGATATATCGCCCAGCTCTAGACCAAGTCATTGTTTTGCAAGTCTCAAGTAAGTCGCAAGTCTTTATCCTCAAGTCAAGTCTCAAGTAATGTCAGGCAAGTCAGAGTCGAGTCTCAAGTCACTGGTGTAAAAGTCCGAGTCAAGTCACAAGTCTGAAACTTTGAATTTCAAGTCCTTTCGAGTCTTTAAAAAAAAAAAATGAAAAAATAATGTTGCAGTTATGCTAAATGTAAATGTTAGACCATGTAATTTTAAAATCTGTGTTTTTCTCAACACATGACAAAATAGTGAACTTAGAAAATATACACAAATTGTGAAATTGCACCTCTTTAAAATGCAGCTCAATTAAACCTAGCTCCAAGAATAATTTTCACCGACAGTTCTGAGATAAGCTGCATGTTATTCTTGGATGCGGTTGTAGGACCGGCTTTAAAATCGGATGACAAAAATATCATACACATTAAAAAAAACTGTATCACCAATGTAGCCTGGACAACATTTGCTAGTTAGATGAAGTCAGCTATCTCATCTTAGCATATTTATATGCATATTTATAATTATACGGTTCTTGGAGTGAG